TTTTGGGGGGGGGGGGGGGTTGTTGTACACGGGAGGGGCAACTGGAGGTGGGTCGTACCAGACGGGACAGTCGTGTGTACTCCGTACTGTTTCGATTAGAGGTACACAGAGAGGGGGGCAAGGAGGCACGCATAGGGACGAACAGCCAGGAGTTGCAGTTTGCGGGGTAAGGAGGGGCCACGTGACAATAGGATGGGGTCGGTACTCCGGTGGGTACAACTCCCCGTGTGCCTTGCCGGTGCCTGCGTATGGGGTTCTCACCAATGGGTTGGCCTTGTCCTGTCCCGCGATGTCCGGGGCGGAACCGTGGCACGGCTCGAACACGCCGGGGCCGTCGGGGTTTCCCATGGAGGCGGAGGGGAGCATGCCGAGGGAGCCCACCTATCCGATACAGCCAGTGTGGTTTCATATAGCGCGGGGGAACACTCGTCAGCCTGATCAATCACCCGCGATTTATGGGACTTCGCTGCATCACAACCTAACCGCCAATTCTATCGTGAGAGCAGAGAACAACATCAGCACTATCTAGGCTAAACACACCATCACCAGCACTTCCCCGCACAAGATCATCATCATCACCAGCAACAAGAACGACGGACAGCAAAACACGCAGGAACACGACAACAACACCACATGCACCGAAGGCTTGTCTCACGAGCATGGAGGCCTCATCGGAAAGGATGTCGCCGAAGATATTGCCGGTCATCATCACGTCGAACTGCTTGGGCCAGCGGATGAGCTGCATGGCGGCGTTGTCGACGTACTGGTGCGTGAGCTCCACCTCCGGGTAGTCCTCCGACATCTTGATCACCACGTCTCTCCACAGCTACAGCAGCACGACCCAAACCAAAATCAGCGACAGCAGCAGCAGCAGCAGCAGCAGCAGTAGCAGTAGAGGCAGCGCTTGGGTGTCTGCTTCTCCATAAGGTTCTTCGTAAACACATCCCGAAGGAAATGTTGACCTCGTCTTCATTTTCCACATGTGCATAGCTTCACCTTGCCAGCTTTCTTCCCTCCCCCAACAACACGATGGATAGGTTTTGAGCTTCGAGTGTCGACTGATGTAGCATGCATTGAACAATTTCCTGATATGCCTTGCACATGCTTCCAAAGCAAAAAACAACAGCAACAACGGTCGAAGTAGTTGCAGGAGCAGCAGCAGCAGCCTCGGCAGTCCATCCACTGTATTGCTCCGCGCACGCCGTACCTGACTGACGTCGAGCACGTTAGCCTTGTCAACGGAACACAGGCGCTTCCCCCTCTTCATCGCCACGTCGTACGCAACCTTCGCGATACGCTCCACCTGCGTGTCAACCAAGAAAGAGAAGAAAAAAAGTAACGCCACGTCAACGGAACACAGCTAGATTCTTGCAGTTCACAACATTCCCAAGCAAGTCAAACAAGCCGGCTGAGACCAACAACAACAAAACACGTCACTTCAACAGAGCACAGATTCTGTGTCGATATTCTTGTAGTTCGCAATACATGGAACGAGCATGGAATGGACGAACTCATCAAAAACGGAGGCAACGGAGTCAAGTCGGTCCGCTTCCCCCCGCAACCACCACGACCGCCCATCGGCACCAACAGCGCTCGCCACTGAGTGTGAGTAAAACAGAAAAAAAGGCGCTAAGATGCCCCTCCACACCCCCAAGGGAAGCGTGCGCACCTCGTGCTCGTGGTAGATCATGTTGTTGTACCCTACCCGCTCCCCCGAAGGCAGCTCGTCGATCCCCTGTACGCACATGGCAAGGGGTAGGATTTTCGGGGGGAAAACAAATACGAGGAGGCGTCATGGTTCTGTGTTCGCCGGTTCGTGTATTGGTCTTACTGTACAATCATCCGTTGGGTCGACGTCGAAACCGGAGGCGTTTCAAGCGTTCTGTATTTTTCCGGGCAACGCTAATGAATCGTCCGGGCAGCGATGCCGCCCTCCCCACCGTCGAAAGAAGAGTCCACACACTGTCGTTCTTCGTGATGACAGCAGTGGTCCGTCCCCTCGAATAAGGCCGCACGGCAGCACCAAGGGATCTGGGCGGCTTTTTGCACCGGGCAGCCGGCACTATTCAGAACAAGAGACAGGTCCGACCCCATTGGTGTCACGCGATCCGTCACCGGCGTCACACGGAGCGACCGGCCTTGTTTTATGCCAACGCCGTACAAAGGGACCGCTAGTCTACCTTAAACCCTGCCGGGTTTCAACCAGGTCGGGCGATCGGCAAAGTTCCGGGAACAAGTCGTAGTTGACGGGAACAGCAAAAGGGGCGCCGCTCGAAGGGCAGAACACAATCATCGCAGCGAGGGCAGCACACACACTTGTTGATTTACACTTGTTGGGTTCTTGGACGACAAGTGAAATGATGCCTGGATGTTGTTATTTTCCGTGCGTACATGTCGCCGCCGTAGAGCCCCCGTGACGACAACAAAATCAATCATGCCTACAACCCTCAACAGTACACGGCGGCAGCAAGAGCAATCGGCAGCTGCGATGTACTACACGTCCAGCATAGTGTGTACAGCAGGCAGGTGTGGACCTTGGGCGTGCCGAAGTAGACGTCACCCGTGAGCTCCCTGACCACCATGATGTCCACCCCCTCCACGATCTCGGGCTTGAGGGAAGAGGCGTCCACCAGCTCTTTCATCACCTTGGGAAGGCGGGGCGGGGTGTAGGGTACGCAAAAGAGAAAACAAAAACGATTGGGGACGGGGGGACGGGAGGGTACTCATGTTTTGCGTGCCTTAGTTGCTAGACCATTTACCGCGCGTGCTAAACGCAAAAGACAAAAGAAGCTAGGGAGATGGTCATTCGACAACGCATTCCTTGTGACCCGGCGCACCGTTCTTGCTCCGAAGGTAGCGTCGTGTGGGATGGGTAGTGTACATATGAGGCGTGCTCGTTTGTCATCTCAACCCTGAAAACACCAACCCATTTCCCAGGAGGAGCGTTGGTGGGGGAGGGACACGGGAGAATACATGGCAAGAGGCGGGGGGATGTGGGTTAGGTAGTTGATGCAGAGGCAAGACTGGGGACGGAGCAAACAAAAGAAGGCAAGTCACGAGCTTGTATGCATTCATTCTGCACCCAAAATTCATCTTTATGGTGAAATTTATCGTGGTCTATGCGACCTGAAGATGTGGAAATGGCAAGAAACAGACGAGGTACCGAATGAGCTCGAAATAGAACAAAAACAATAGTTCGGCTTCCCCTCTCACCTTAGCAGGCCGAAGGTTTGCGAACAGCCCCAGCTGCGAGCGCATCGCCAGCAGCCCGGTCTCCGGCCTCAGCTCCCGCGGGTTGCCGTCCCACTTGGGCCCTCCGATGGCGGCCAGCAGGATAGAGTCCGACGCCTGTCGATGAGTTTCGTTTGGATTGATTGCGGACAACAACAAACACAAACAAAATGATGACAAAAAATAACTTGGCAACAACACGCGATCGTACGCACCCCCAACATTGCGGCACGGTCTACACGGAAACTTGTGGATAGCGCGGTGAGTTTTGTGCGGACCCGCCGCCACAATGTCTACTGCGTCCCTACACCAGCACCGACGCGAGGGCCAGCAGCAGCAAACACCACCGCCACCACCCGTCACCGACACCCCTTCCAGACAACCATGAAGTAGCGCACCAACAGGGACGGAACGCATCTCTCACCTTGGCCAACGCCATGGTCGAATCAGGCCACGGTGAACCCTCGGCATCGATGGCGGCACCTCCGATCAGCGCCTTTCGACATGTACCGCGGCGGATAACGTGTGCAAGGCCAGAAATATTACCGCAAACACCGGGGGAACGGAGTTAGAATACTCCGGGGG